TTAATTCTAGGATATCTCAAAAATTAGTATGCATCTTAGGCTTGACAAGCTCATAGCCTCGTATATTTCGTCACTTTATTCCTTAATATTCGAGTCTACTTCCAAAGGCAAGCAATATAGCATAAATATTAGTATACATAGAAGGTTTGCAAAGACTCTACAAGCTTGACTTCGAACCTTTGGTTCTTGCCAATCTCACGTTGTCTCAAAGGCAAATAGAATGGTATAATTTTTTTGATATCTTTAGTGGGTTTAAAATCGCACTAGAAATGATATATCAATTTGGTTGATTTTAGTTTCTGAAGCTCAAATTTTATAGCAAGGAGATTGATAACGAAATTGAGCGCCGGTGTAAATTTTAGACCTGAATTCTATATTATGGATTCATATGGCTAGAAGGACTTCTGGCCTATGATTGGGATCTTTCTGGATATTTTTTTTGGATTTTAACCCCAGGACTCTCAAATTTGCTCTACTTATATATTAATCTAATATAATTAATTATAATTATATTTTTTTTATTAAGATTTTGATTTATTATTAAGTTTTGTTTTTAATATTATCAATAGAATAATTTATAATATAAATAATTATAAATTCATATATATAGATATATAATATTATGATATTATTATATGAACTAAATCATCAAAAAATTATTTTTTTAAATAATAAGAGTTCTGGATCAGATAAGATGATCAGATTAAGAATAATTTTTTGAAAAAATTTTTGATTTGATGCACTCGCCCTATATTTCTATGTATTGAGTAAGTTTGGTCATGTGAGCGTTTTTGTCCGAAGGTCAATATATGAAAATTTTCGGTCACGTGATTATTGCGTTTCTCTGTCCGCCCACGTGATTTTCGTCCAATAATTCGCGGCCTAGTATAAAAATAGTTAATAAGTTATTAACTGCAAAAATGATCGGCATTGGCAGAGTTACATTCAAAATCTCTCTCTTTTTCGATTTTCTTGTTCAATGGTAGTTGTTTAGAAAAATAAATTATCAGTTGATTTTTTCTTTTAATTATAATTTAACACGTTTATAGTCAGTAACACTTCATACAGATCTCGGTGATCTTAAAATTGAAGTATTTTGTGAGGCAGTACCAAAAACTGCCGAGGTAGTTATCTTTTTAAGATATATAAATACATATCGGATTGGTTAATAAGTTTTTTTTTTTTTTTTAGAACTTTTTAGCCTTATGTGCAAGTGGATACTATGATAACAATTTATTTCACAGGTAAGGTAATAAAAAAGGAAAGACAATTAGTTTTTCAATAAGTATTCGCTAACGACAGATGATTTATGACGAAAAACAGGAATGTCAAAGGTTTCATAGTGCAGGTAAAAAAAAAAAAAGTTTTTTACTTACATAAATTGAATTGCAATGAAATGTTAATTTTCAAATTAAAGACAGGAGATCCTCTAGGAACTGGTAAAGGAGGGACTTCAATTTGGGGAAGGAAATTTGAGGATGAAATTAAATCTTCATTAAAGGTAAATAAATATTGTTTTCAATTGTATAACTTTTGATAATTGCAAACAAGTATTATGATAAATTCATAGCATAACACACGAGGTATAGTTTCAATGGCAAATAGTGGACCTGATACCAATGGATCACAATTTTTTATAACGTATACTAAACTACCTCACTTAGACACAAAGAATACGGTATTTGGAAAGTATGTCATTTACGATTTCTACAAGTTTTCCTTAATGTATGATACATAACATTATTTCATTTAAAGGGTTATTGATGGATCAGATACTACATTGGACGCTATTGAAAAAGTACCCGTTGATGAGAAATATAAACCTATTCAAGATATTAGAATTAAATCTGTTACAATTCATGCAAATCCTCTTGCTGAAAGAGATTAATTAATTAATAAAAGAAATGATTAAATATTAATATATAATTAATTCTCAGACTAATTACATTTTCTGACTTTTTTTATTTAATATTACGAATTTGATTTCTTGCTTTAATATTTTAAATAAATAAATAGCAAATAGCACATATAAATATTGACAGAACTATATATATAATGAAAGATGCAAAAGAAATAAAATAAATTTTACACGATATACAAGAATTTTGGGACAATTCAGCAAATACATTTTTAAGGTAAATTAAGTAAATAATTCCATAGGGGTGACAGCATCAAATACTACTGATCCTGATAATGTTATTTTAGACATGAATTGTAAGGGGAAATGAACCAAGTGACCTTTGACTTTACTAAGTTCTGATTCAACTTCTTTCATGGATAATTTTTCCGGATCACAAACGTGTCCCGTTGGAATCTTCTTTCGGTCCGGAACAAATGCAGCGAATTCAACCCAGTCCGTAACTAAAATTATAACAAAAATTAAAAAAAAAAATCTTTAATCAAAAAAAAAATTTTTTTTAAAGAATTTATAATTACCAGAATCATCTGGAACACAATGGAATACTGTTCGGAAAGCTTCTGTGTTAATCGTAGCAGTTCGATGCCAAACGTTATAATAAAATTCATCACTAGCTGGATCTATCACAACATTATCGGATTTACATAATTCTTCATCATCGAGAGATAAGTCAGAATGGAGTGGCGGTGGATGACAGATCGGAGTAACTTTCTCGTGGTCAGCTTCATTAAGCAAACCAAGATGTTCCTTGAAGATATTACGACGTAAAGTAGCGGCAAACTTTCCAGCTTCCCACTAAGTTACAGATTGGATAAAATTGATTGAAATTTGTATATTAAAATTAAATTTTAAAAAAAAACAATTTTTTTTTTTGTAAATACCTTTTCGCCAGCCATCATAGAATCAATGTAATTCTTGTCCTCAATAATAGCAGCAATTTCAGAATCATGGTCACCATTTTGTGACCTATCATTCAAATTAGCTATAATGGAAAAAAAAAAAATAAATATAAAGAAAACTGAGTTACGAAGATGATAATTCCTACTTACCAGAACCGCAGATAACAATTCTGTCATCAGCGATTAAAAGCTTAGTATGAATATACAATTCTTCAGTGATATAGGTGCCAGAAGGATCTTCGTTAACCTCTGCTTGAGGAACAGCTGGATCTGCGCCGGATTGCTCAGCTAAACTAGGCGCATCTATTTCATCCTTTAATTTACCCAACCCTTCTGCTATAAATTGAGGATTGATTTTGTCGTGGGCACGGAGTGCATAAAACCCAATGTATCTATCAGGATTAGTAACACCGTTTTTCCTTAAACATTCATAAATCGATTGTCCACCTCGACAAATCGATTGATATTGGTAATGCATAACGAGACTAAAAAAATAATTTATAAAATTCAAATTTGGTATTGACCCAGAATAAAAATATATTAAAATATATTAAGCTTAAAGAAAGCTTACCGAACAGTACCAGCGTCGCCAGAGTCAAGGTCAGCTGGAAAAGCTGGAAGTAAGGGCATGGCAACAATAATTCTGAATTTTTCATTATTCTTAAAGGCTCTAGTAATTCTATCTACAATTGCCTGCAAATGATGAAATATACATATGTTAATATATTTTATTTTATTTATTTTGATTAAGCATTTTTTTTATTTTTAGTAATTATACCTTTCCAATAAGATTTTTTACTGGATAATCTTTACTTTCTTTAGTAGCAGTAACTATTTTTAAAAAAAAATAAAATAAACATTCATTATATAAATAGCTTAAATTATGACAAATAAACGAAAAGCTTACTGAAAAATTGGTTTTCGATATATATGAAGTGTTTGGCTTCTTCAATGATTTTGACGTAAGCATTCTGAATTGAATGCTAAATATAATTTTATGTAAATAAACAATATATTCATTCATATTAATAAAGATCAACAAAAAAAAAAGCGCAAAACTTACTTCTACTTTATCGAGACCAAGACTCCATTCAGCGCTACTTCTGACAATTTGAACATTACATGAACCTTTATTCGGATGGCATTCGATGCTTTCTCCGCTATAACTATAAGATCTAACCTCTGGAGGTTGTTCACGATCATGTTGTTCATCAGATTTAGGAATTAAGACTGGATATTCAAGACGGTTTTCAGCCTTTTTTTTTTTGATAAAGTTCCATCGTTGAATGAAATGACGTGCAACATCAAGTGCAGGTCTACCAACCTGTGAATAAGCGCGAAAAGAATTTCTTTTAAGTATTTAATCTTCAACTTGTGTAATTCGAATTAACGTAATACTTACAAAACCTATTGAAACATCATGCCATGGCATACGAGCAGTTTTCTTTTTGTCAATTAAACCGTGTGCCCAATTTTGTACTGCAATATAAAAAAAAAACATGAACTGAGATGAGGAATTCAAAGTAAAATTACAGTTCATAGAAAAAATATTTATAGATAATAGATCGTACCATCAAAGAAGTCCTTGATCCTAGGATTTGAATAATCTTGACCAGGCCAAATAGAATATTTTTTAGAAGCTTCATGAAAATCAGTAAGTTGATGTGCTGGGGTATCATATCGACCGAAGCACAAATCCAAACCACCGATGAAAGAAACGTGCCTATCTATAACTATCATTTTCTAAATGAAAAAAAGCTATAGTTTAATAAATGCAATATTTATTTTTGTAAATGATAACCTTAAAATTAAATATCTACCTCGTGATGCTAAAATATAAAATATCGTGGTAATTAGAACAATTATAAGAATTTTATAAAACAACCGCATTTAATGAATTATAATTACCGCCCAAAAGAATGTGCCATCAATACCATGATCAGGATGTCTTTGCACTAAATGATATAAAAGAAAACGTCATAAATATTTAAAGAAACTCCCGTCATAAGTTTGGTAATTCTTACCCATAATATTTTCCTTATGCAAATCTTGCAAAACATCTTTACTATGTCTAGAATTTAAAGTCAATGCTTTGGGCATTTCTTTATAAATAACAACATAAATTTTCACTCCTTCATCTGCTTTCGCTTTAAGAATACGGTCAAGACGATAATTTTCGTTTTTGGAAGGAGGTCTACGGAGATACTGCATTTCATTTTAAGCCGATTAATTGAAAATTACAAAAATTACTATAATTACTATAATTAAACACGCGATATATCACGTGAGCACTGTAGCCGTGAATAAAATAAACCGCGTCGAATGCTACATACCAATTCAGGTGAAAGCCACCAGTCTTCAATGAAAATTTCCTCTTTGGCAGCCATAAGAGCTTCCGAAACAGCATAAAAATAGGATTTGCCATCGACATACCATTTTACATGACAATTTTCCCTTTCGGAGGCAAAGGAATTATAGCGGTGCTCTTTTTCCCACTCGCCCTTGGTTCCCTGTTCACCAAATATCGCAGTGGTAATACTTTCTACTGCATCTCCAAGTATATTCATAATGGATAATGTTAAAATTAAAAATAATTATAAAATAGACTCAAGAAAGAACTTGGGTAAAGAAAAAAAAAAGGAGAAAAGAAATTCCCGCCTTTTTGTCTCGAAAAAAAAAAAAAAAAATCCTCCATCTACTTTAGGGAATCTTTTACGTAACAATATTTTGGCGTTTGTGTTCAAATTTATATTATTTAAATGTAGATGCGAAAATTTAATACTAATAAATCCTAATTTCGGTCACTTTTGATTGTATTACACAAACGTTTATATTTATTTTTTTTCATCTTAACAAAATTAGATGAGTGTGTACTAGAGTGTGTACTGTTAGAACTTGTTAGAACTATATTAAGACGATCCCGCGTTATTGAGACAATTCCACATTAGTATTTTTCAATGATTCCTGATTTTGAATTAATTCTAATTGCCATAATAAAAAACTAATTATGTCAATCAAAGATAATCAAACTTCAGCCTTCTTTTAAAACACCTAAAGAATGTAATAAGGCAAGGTGTTTTTTCCTTCTCGCACTTTTTACTAACCAAAAAGCTGGATACTTTGGAAATAAGAACTAATTGGACCAAAATTATTTTTCAGCTGATAAAATGAAAATTAACGGTTTTTTAGAACATTTGGTAACATACCTTCTATTTTTTTTAGTTATATGGTCATTAGGTTAACGTTAATATAATGATAAATTACAAATTTTAAATAAAATATATTAAATAAAATGGGCGGCAGTCAATAGAAAAGGGGGGAATCTATTGGTCCACTTGACCGATCACGGTCGTGTACTTAGGAATCAAAATTAGACAAAAATTTCAGATTTTTTTTTCCTTTTTACTAATATCCTTCCAAATGATGAATAATTTGTTATATAGCATTAATTAAAAATTTTTTATCTTCTACTTTTTATATGTTGTTAAAAATCACTTAATATAATATATTAGGTAACGGGGAGCAAGTCCGGAGCGTTAAAAACACAGTACATTTTAAATTCACGTGATAAAGTAATTCGTAATAGATCGGCAGTGAAACAATGCGTGCCAATAAACATCCGACTCATGCGGACATCAGACATCAAAACATATCAGTCATGTGAAATGTCGGAAAATTTTGGACCAAATTTAGTTCTATATAATGTCGATCATTTTATCAAAACTTTATCTATGTCAACTGTGTAACATTTTTAAGTACTTCGAATCCTGCTTCATTCAGAATGATTATCGGGGGTTTAAGAATACTTTTATAAATTTTCGAAACAAGAATTATACAAATTTTCGTGCAAACTTAAATAATTTTTTCAATAGTAAATTTAAGAGACTTTACTTTTTGACTTATCTAAAATTAACTTGAGTGACGTTAAAAAAAAACAAGTGAGTGAGTTAACAGGTATTTTTTTTTACTTTTAATTTGTTACAATTATATCATGAATTAAATTTTTTTTAATTATCAACATATAGATATTTAATATTCGGGGAATTCATAATTATGAAATGAATTGATTCCGAATATAAAAGAGTGTAAAAGGAGTGTGAAAATCAATGTGATACAACATAGATATTGATTTTAGAAC